TTTAAAATCTGGTTATTTGTGATTTTGACAAAGTTGTAAGAGTTCTTTATATATTCTAGATACAAGTCTCTTATCAGATATATGATTTTCAAATATTTTCTTCCATTCTTTGGGTTGCCTTTTCACTCTTGATACTGTCATTTGATGTTTAAAAGTTTTAAATTTTTGAAGCCCCATTTATCTATTTTTTCTTTTGTTGCCTATGCTTTTGCTGTTATGTCCAAGAAATCATTGCCAAGTACAATGTCATGAAAGTTTTCCCATATGTTTTCTTCTAAGAGTTCTATAGTTTTAGCTCTGTGTAGGTCTTTTTTTTTTTTGGTTTTTCAGAGACAGGGTCTTGGCTCTGTCACCCAGGCTACAGTGCAGTGACATGATCACAGTTCACTGTAGCCTCAAATCCCTGGGCTCAAGTGATCCTCCCAAAATTACTTGGTTTTTGTTTGTTTGTTTGTTTAGGTCTTTGATCCAATTTTGTATATAGTGTGAGGTAAGGGTCCAACTTCATTGTTTTGTATGTGGATATCCAGTTGGCCCAGTGCCATTTATTGAAGAAATTATTCTTTTCCCATTGAATGATCTTGGAATCCTTGTTGAAAATTAGTTGACCATAAATGTATGGGTTATATCTGGACTTTCAATTCTATTTCACTGATGTATATGTCTATCCTTATGCCAGTACCCCACTGACTTAATTATGGTTGCTTTGTATTATAGTAAATATTGAAATTGAGAAGTGTGGGTCCTCCTACTTTGTTATTTTTTAGGATTGTTTTGGCAATTCAGGGTCACTTGCAATTCCATATACATTTTAGAATCTGCTTGTCAATTTCTACAAAGAAATCAGTAGGCTGGTAAGCATTGTATTGAGTCTGTAGACCAATTTGGGGAAAACTGCCATTTCCAATTCATGAAAATAGGATTTTAAAAATCTTTACGTAGCTCTTCTTTAATTTCTTTCACAGTGGTTTGTAGTTTTCAGAGTATAAGTTTTGCATTTCTTTTGCAAAATGTATTCCTAAGTATTTTATTTTATTTTATTTTATTTTTTTTTATTTCAGCATATTATGGGGTACAGATGTTTAGGTTACGTGT